TAATTATCTTTGAAATTGTTTGGAAAAAAACATGATTACTTTGCAAGGATTTATGAGTTGTACAAAATGTTCTTAAGCAATTATTTATTTATATAAGCATGTAAAAACAGGCATTATATGTACTTACCTTTTTGTATTTTCAAACAGGTTTCAAGCTGCACTCTAAGTAACTTACTGCATTTTTAATTTATATAATAACATTATTTGCTCCATATAAGAATGTAATACATATTATAGTGCTTTATCCATTGTCATACACATATAAAAACCAAATTATTATTTTTGTTTGATTGCTTAATGTAATATTCGCTTAATGTACTATATATTGATAATTCTTGTTTAGTATACTTAATTTTGTAATTGCGTTATGTGTTTTATGTTGATTTATTTTCACAATAAAAATTATCACAAATGTACATGCAGACGTACGATTTAAAGTTGCTTCGATTTTTTACGGCTACACTTTGGGAAGGAACAAGGCGGCGGCGATATCTTGCTTACAAAATTTTATTAATCATTGCCAGAGTATAAAAAGACTACTTATGATGAGTACGAAAATGCATTGTGTTACAATGTTTACTCACACCAAACAATCGCGTAAGAAACTTTGCGTGGAAAAAAGAGAAACGCTAATACATGTGCACGAGCTCTTTACTACGAAATAAATATATTAGATTGCAGTATGATAGCTATCGTAAGTGAAGCGGGGCAACAGGCGGACGATTTCGTCACCCGATTGAAAAGAAGATAAGTATACAATACCGATAAATAGATAAATAATAATAGTCGCGAATAAATCTGATAAGGGAAACCGTCTTTTAACGATTTTGATGGGCTTTGGATATGTTGTAGAATATAAAAACATATTATCCTCATATTTTTTGTTATCAGTGTATCTCAAGATGAAACATTTCCTCGAAAAATATGGATTTTATCGTTTGTAGCAAATATCTTCAAAACTATATAAACGATATATAAACAAATGTTATATATATATATATATAAACAAATGTTTAATACAAAAATTATGATATTTTGTATATCTCTATATAATAGTGTATTCATTTTTTTAATATCAAATTTTTTAACTTTCCCCTATCCCTACTCATTTTTTTAATTTTGCAAAATTTTAAAATTTTATATGAGCAAAAATTAAAGAGCATCGAATATCACATTTATTTATGTATAATAATGTTATGTTTCCACGATTCAACTTTTGGAAAAATCAGATGATAACTTCGTACTAAGCGCCGCGATGTAGGTAGATATTATTATTTCTTTTCAGTTGTTCTGCACTTGTGCATATTTTCTTATAATATAATAAAAAAATGAATTAGTCTTAATGATATAATATCAACTTACTACACGAAATTACGATATAAGTATGGATGAACCTGCATATATAACAATATAACAATATAATATATACTTTAATACAATAATAATACATACAATAATAATACATATACCTTACTCTTATATTAGGTGTAGTAAAAAGAAATCCATTATTTTTGCATGAAATTGAATGGAAAAATAATGGATTTCTTTTTATTACACTTAATATTATAAGATATATTTTTCTATAATTCTGTTGAAGCAGCATTATCAAATGAATATAAAAGGCAAACCGTGGAATACTGGAAAAGCGGGAAAACCAAACGAAGTTTGCTTAAAAGAGTTAGAAAGACAAAAATTTAAAAAAATTATATCGATTCGAACAACTACGACAATGGCAGGACAAAAACAATGAAGGTTGTAGTAAAAATGAAAAATTAAAACGAATCTCCGAATACACATTAAATTCTTTCAATGAAAGGGCTTGAAAGGGAATAATTATTGCATGACATAAAAAACATCGCTCAATAATCTTCTCGAACATAAGATGAAGAAAATACACTAGGATTTAAACCTCAGAAACGTAGATGAGAAAATTCAAAATTACACATAATATAGTCTCGAAAAACAATAAAATTTGTAACAAAAAATCTTTGCTATCAAAAGATGATTTGGAAAATAAGTATAATACATTTATTGAAAATGTAAAATATTATATATTCATCGCTATGGGAAAATATTAATATTAATATATAATTCGGATCAAAGTGGATTCCAATTGGAAATGCACTCTGGTCGTATCTTATCACATAAAAGTAGGAAAAAAGTAGAACTGTAATACAATCTATATCAGCAACAACACACAGTGTTACTATACAGCCGATTATTTCCGCTGATGTAGATTATTATCATCTCTTTTTATAGTATTAAGAGAAATTATAGAAACATTTGGTTCAAGAGTATAGGAAAATATATTCAACCTAATTTAATATTTTCATTACGGTTTCTCAGGTAAATTAACATCAAATCACATAAAAACTTGGTTGAAAGAAGTATTTTTCCCGAATGTCGAACTACAATCAGTATTACTATTAGACTTATGGAGTGAACATTGTCCCAACATAATTTCGGAAACTAATAGGAAAGATACAGCCATTAGATGTTTATGGCTTCCGATTGTGAAAAAATTTTATTAAACATTTTTCTGATACCATTATATTGTTAGATCTTTTGCAATTCATCTTCATGCTAGAAATAATATCTTGAAATTACAATCATTAACGCATCATCAATTCTCATCGCCTAAGTTTAAAAATTTATTTAAATTTACATGATTTAAAAATGGATATATACTGAGTAGACCTGCAGAGTTTAAAACATCAACAGTTGAATTTTGTTTTCAAAATTGTTGACTTAAAAGTAAAATTCAATTTGTGGCGGAACTGCAATAATTACGTGTTCTTGGTGTAAAAAATCGTTTTATATAACTTTTTTCATGACTACCACTTTTGTAATGAATATGTATTATAAATATAATATATTATTCATGTATAAATTCTGTTGTTTTTATAAATCTGTATCACTATACTGTTCTTTTACATATTATGATGTTATTATTCTATACTATTCTATAATTCTTTAGATTATTATAACAAAATTTGTATTTTATTACATTTTTTTTAAGCATACTGTATTTACACGCCTGCAGAAATACGTGTAATGACAGAATGATTAATAAAAAGAAAAAGAAGAAAGAATTGTAAAGAATTGAAAAGAAATAATAACCTATCTACCTATCTACAGCGCGGCTCCTATAGCGATGTTATCATTTGGTTTGTCCAAAAATTGATCGTGGAAACATAACATTACTATACAAGAATAAATGCGGCATTTGATGCTCTTTAATTTTTGTTCATATCAAATTTTTAAATTTTGCAAAATTAAATGAGTGGCGGTGGAGGAAAGTTAAAAAATTTAATATTAAAAAAAGTGAATACATCATTATATAGAGCACAAAATACCATATAATTTTTGTATTAAACATTTTTTTATATATCACATAATTTCGAAGATATTTGCTAAAAACGATAAAATCCATATTTTTCGAGGGGATGTTTCATCCCCTAAACCTTGAGATACGCTGATAAAAAAAAATATGGATCTAATATTTTTGTATATTCTACAACATACACAAAATTCATCAAAATCGATGAGGGATAGCTCCAATGTTTCCCTTTGAGAGCGATAAACCCCCATTCTGCGTTATCGTCATTCTTTTCATTCGTTCCATTCAAAACCGAGGCTAATCTCGCGAGCAAAAACGGAGCTCCGGTCTTTCTTTGATCATTCGCGCGAACGGTATCAATATAATCGAGAAGGCACGGAGAGATTAAGAAAGCACTTGAAACTTGGTTTCAATGAGTTATACATAGTACACTTTTATTTCTCGAAATAACATATTCCTACTTCTAATGTACAATTCCGAGGTCTCCATCTCGCAATTTCATCTGTCAAACGTGCTGCTATTTTTCAGTCCATTCCTCTCACGTTCTACATCTAGTCGTTCACGACTC